CGCGGCTGGTCAGTTTCAGCAGCGGCTGAATCAGAACGCCTGGGGCAGAGCAGATGGGGTGCTGCTAGGTTGGTCCAGTAGCACCCAGGCAGCCCCTCCCGGACCCACCCCAGCACCCCCCCAGCTGCTCTGCCCCAGGCGTCCCCAAGTCAGCTTCTGCTGAAACTGACCAGCGCTGACTACAGGAAACCCCAGGCAGAGTTGCTCTGCCCCGGGCTTCCTGGAATCAGCTGCTGATCAGTTTCAGCAGCAGCTGACTTGGGGACGCCTGGGGGTCTTACGTTGATTCTGTATGTAAGTCAGAACTGGCGGTCAGTTTCAGCAGTGTCTGAATCTGGACGCCAGTTCCGACTTACATACAGATTCAACTTAAGAACAAACCTACTATCTTGTACGTAACCCGGGGACTGCCTGTATAGACAAAGCCTAAGTCCATTCCTCTCCTGAAGACCCTGGCCAGCACAGCGATATGAATTACTCCACTGACACTTGAGAAGGCGTACGGATGGTAGAAAGCTGGTGGTTTTCAAAGACTGGGCACATGATTCTTATTGATTTCTAAAGCTCCAAAGCATTTGGAGGAGCTCTCTAGGTAAATTGTTCATTTCCTAACAATTGCTTCGCATTATCTTAATCAGATGAGAAACAATGAACCTTCTGAAGGGAAAAATTAGATGAGTGCACACAATGCTTCTAGAGCAAGAAGCAGATTTGAATGCTCTGAGGAAGTGAAGAAAGAGTCTAGAGTGGAAGAATTACCTTCAGCACTCAGCAAGTGGGTAGTGCAGCATCCCGCATCCTCACCTGCATCCTCAGCAGCAGCTGCCACCATCCCAAGAACTCTGCAGCGGAGAGAAGAGATGATTTAGACCCGTGGTCACCAACCCGTCAATCGCGATCGACTTGTCGATCCTGGAGGCTCGAGCAGTCGATCACAAGGCTTTAGGTGCCCCTCACCCCCAAGATGAACGCTGCACTGATGCTACCTCCAAAGACAATGGAGGTGGCGCAGGCTTCCTGCAGGGTGGGAGTGGGGAGGTCTGCACCTTCATGCCAGGTCCCGGAAGTGCACAGGCTGCTTTCCCCCACCGTCCTCCCCTCAACAGCCGGTGTGGTACCTAAAACACCGGTCCATCATACGCTGGGGACTTTGTTCCCCTGCCACCTTCCTGCACACGAGGGTGGCGGTGGGAGTGGGGGTCTGGGACTGCATCGGCTCCGGCTGCTCATGCGGCACATGCTGCTGTGGGGAGCAAAGGAGCAAGGCACGCACTGCCCAAGCGGTTGGGGCTGGCACGGTCCAGGACTCTCTCTCCCCCCTCCGGGGAAGGCAGCGGGGGGAATAAAGTCCCCAGCATGCTGGCTCCAGATGTTCAGGCAGCGTGCGCTGCCCAGGGTAGAAAAGGAACAAGGCGTGCACTGCCCCAGCGGTTGGGGCTGGCACGGTCCAGGACTCCCCCTCCTACCACGCAGGAAGGCATCAGGTATAAGATGGACCAGCGTTTCAGGTACTGCACTGCTGTTTGAGGGACGGGGGAGCAGCCTGTGCACTTCCTGAGATTTGGCATGCAGCTGCAGAATCCCCAGG